GAAAAGTGGCATAGTTCTTGAAGCTTCAATTTTCCTCATCTATGAAATGGAGATAATACCTACTCTACAGAAAGTATACACACACACACATACCTCCACAAGGAAATATATATATATATCTTTTGCCTCCTAATTCTTATTAAGGCATAATACAAAATAGGCAGTAAAAAAGGTAGTAGATAACATTATCATTATCGACACCAAATTTTGTACAGAGAATAATTCATTTTGGAAAGGGGAATTATTAAAAAAAATAGCTTAGGGGGAATAATATTAAAACAAAGTTATGAATGCAAGCTGTGTTCTTTCTGTATAGCAATTAAAAGTAAGAAACTTTCACTGCCTCTGTTCTCCTTTGAGTAGTTAGCCATTGGATATGGAATATTATCTGGGAATTGGGGGAACTGGGAGAGTTTAAAACGACTTATTGCTACACTAGGACTTTTCAAATAAGCTTTTTTAAAATTAAAAAATAAATTATATGCTATAAAGCATCAAATGCCTGGATAACTTAACTTTAATTAAAGGAGAAAGGGCAGTTTCAGAATGCTCAATTTTCCATTTTTAGAGCAATTTTTCTTCAACAATACTTTCCCCTGTAGCATAAGGGAAAGTTTCGCAGATCCAAGCCAAGCACTCTGAAGATGGTGAACATGTCGTTAGAAGTCCAACCTATACTCACAGACCACAGAATTGTAGTGTTAGGGAAAATGCTAGATACATGTAACCTAGCCCAAACTATTTTAGCAATAAGCAAACTGAGGCTCAGTGTAGCTCAGCAAATTGTCCCTAAAGCACACAGCTTGTTAAGAGCAAGAATATTTCCCTTCTTTTAGCTAGGTTTCAAAAATTTGTTAAGTAGACTGACTTTTTTTAAATCTATAAATATTCTACTGTTTGCACCTGATGCCTTCCTTGCGTGACTGTTCAAATAATAGCCTTATTATTATAACTTGGCTGTTGCGCAGGCATAGACTTTGCATGACAAAGTGGTCAAGTCTTAATAGTAGCCAAGAATCTATGATCAAGCCTTTATTTAGGCTGTACAGTAAGGGCAATCCAAATGTTAGTCATCCTGACATGTACTTTGGAGCACAACACACCCATGAATTCTGGCAAAAATGTCACCAGTTCCTGATACCTTAACCCCCTACAATTCCTTCCACATTGCTGATATTTATATCATGTTTATAGAAAAAATAATTTTCCTAAAATTGTTAAATCTGAGTATTTAAATTTCCCTTCCCTAATTGAAAACTTAAAAGCATGTAGTAAAATGAAGATCTATTATAAAGGAAAGCAGTGAATAATGACACCACCTAAAATGGAGGCCATCATTTCTTTGAAACTGAGAAGCTGCTTGTTCCCACGGAAACCCACACTGATTTTGCCCTCACTACTGATTGGCTTAATATAACCTGAAAATGGACTCCTATTGGAGCCAGGCTTTCAGAAAGACTTCTAAAACCACTAAAAAGTTGCTCTAAAAGACAATAAACTAAATTAATTCTTCTAGAACTAACCTTTTCTCTAGTTCCTGGTTAATACACATGCATAGGAAAGCAATGCAAGTCAACTCCCTGTAGAGCTATCCTTATCTCAACTAGCAAAAACTCTTGTTCCTTCCTACTATTGCTTATACTCTCTCTTCAACAAAATTAGAGATAAGGGCAAAATAGTTCTGCCTGGTAGTGAGGGGGTGGGGGGGAGAGAGAGAGGAGGGGAGGGGTAAGAGAGGGGGCGGCGGCGGGGGGAAGGGGGAGAAATGACCCAAACATTGTATGGACATATAAATAAAAGAAAAAAAAAAGACAATCAGCTACTTTATTTTCTAATAAACTACATTTACTATGTACAATAAGCCTGCTTAAGAAAGCACAATATCGTGCGTGGTGATGATGCAATTTTTACTGTCTTACCCGGCTAAGCAGCAAAGGTTGGGGTGGGGAAGGAAGCCTTGGATGGGCCTGGCATCCCGGTCACCTTCACCCCTCTCACGACATACCTCAGCCAGGTGTGTAGCCAGGTCCATTTAGCAAGGCTGGTCCAGGTCTAATGGTAACTCTAGGACTGCTGGAGCCTAGAAGTGAAAGGGAGCCACTGATTTGTCACAGTGCCAATGCCTCTGCCGTGCAGTCCCCTGGTTTGAGTGACAGGAAGATAGGAGAAGCAAGTATCTTCCTACTGTGCCCCAAAGCCTGAGACTGTTTTGGCCAGACCTTGAAGAGGAGCATTCAATGCATTTCAGGCCTTAGGACAGGCTGTGGTAAGAGGAAAGGCAGAGACAGAGGTAGGCAAATGTCTCTCAGAATTGCACAATAGAGATTTCCCAGGGAGGAAGCCAGAATGAGTAACAAAGCAGGAATTTGTTTCAACAACCCTTCCCCCCAGCCGGCCCAGAAAAACAACCAGACTCAAGATGCTGATAAGAATTCTTTTATGTTATTCCAATAAAAAATACATTCATACAGAAATATAACAATCTTGCAAAAAACAATTTCAAATAAAATCTTGTAAAACAAAATTTTACAAAAATCTTACAAAGATTCTTTAGATAACAGGGTGCTTCCAAAAAAAAAAAAAAGAAAAAGAAAATTTCACTAATAGAAATTTTTTTTAAATTTCAAGCAAAAAGTTTCTGCTTGATTGAGGCTCAGTTATCACCTGAACAGAATGTACTTCTTTATGTACTTGCTTATTATGAAAATCACAGGCATTGACATACATGGCACCCAGCCCCACCCAGTCAAACAACTTCCATGGTGTTTCATAAGTGAGACAAGCCAGTGCAAGTATTTTTTTTTTTTTTTGTCTTTTGTTTACCTTCTTGCTTAATGGAATTGTTATGGCTAAGCATACAGCAGGGCCAAAAAAGGAGTTTTCCAAAACCCAGCAAATCAAGTGCTTGGATTTTGAATGGTCAAATGAAAAGTGCATTTTCCCCTTAAGCAAAATGAAGTAAGTTCTTTAGGTGTAAGTATTCATCAGTCCAGATTAAAAAAAAAAAAAAAAACCAGTTATGTGAGCTTTAATCATCGCTCATTTCCAGGAAGATCAAACAAAATACCAGCCCAGTCAGACTCACATGTACCTGTGTGTATGTGTGTGTGAATGTATACACACACACACACACACACACCCCACATATACATATATGAAGAAATGATCCACAGCTGTAAGCCAGCAGCTGATGAAATACCAGCTGTCCATGGTGTGGTATGCCAATTCGAGGAAATTACTTCTTGAAAAAACTGGGAGAATTTACATGCTGGAAAAAATAGCTTTATCTGCATAAAAAGTGTTCTAAAAAAACCAAAACCCCTGTGGACAGCGTTCTCTTAGGTTAGATCTTCTAATAAGGCTGAAATTTAAACCAAAACCTTGGTGTGTCTGAATCCAACTGGTTCACTGGTATTGCATTCATGCCACTTCTGAATGACCAAAGGTACCTATCCTATTCCAGACTTGCCAATAATGACTCAAGATCAGCAGTATGGAATAGATTCAATGCCAAGAAAATCTCCAGCAAATCATTAAATTAAAGATAAAGCCTCTATAAAAGTTAGGTTATAGTTTTCATTTTTACCTCCTTTATGGCCATGTTGAAATAGTTTTTCACAGGCTGTAGAGTTTTCTAGCTAAACATTCTAGTTTCTCCTTAAAAATATATTTATATATTATCTATATATATAATATATATACACAATACACATACTATACACACAAATATACATACACAAGAATTCCGCCCACTTTAAAAAAAAAAGTAGTATACTTTCTGTATTACCAACAGATAGCTAGATAGATATGTGAAACTTGTGCCTTTTAAGCAAATACATTGACATTGTTTTTTTTAATATACTCTGTATCTTTAATATGTGTGAAAATGTTACATATTAAATACAGCCGGTGTGTGATCTATACAATTATTGTGCAAGGGTCTATATGAAAGTCTCACGGTGGCAGAATTGGTCATATTTTCAATTATCATTTTTTTCCCATTTTAACACTGACAGTCAAGTTTTCTGAAATAATGAATAAATACTGACATGTCAAAGGAGTTTTCTTTGTCTATTTGTCTTTGTGAAGGAGGACCTTAAAGAGGTTTTTTTTCAGTTGTTTTTCCTTTTTTCTGTATTATACATTGATACAGTACAATGCCAGGTGAAAAAAGAGCCTTAATTAAGCATGCATCACCCATACCCCTGTATGAGACCCCCACATAGGGGTCACTTGCATAAGGCACCATTATGAAGGTCAACAGTGCATTAACAGCTAGAAAACCAGAAATTAGTCCTCAAGGCATAAATAAGAGAAACATAGCTGCATGAGAAAACAGTTCCTAAGCTTAGTGGTTTTATCCACCCAACTGAGAAAAATTTTAGGTTCTTAGCTCAATGTGACATTAGACCAGCAATTTCCAGCCCCAGCTTTTAGACACTCAATACATGCCCAATTTCTTTAAAGGGCATTCTAAAATTCTCCAAAAAGTTAATTCAAATTCAGAATCATTTAAAAAATAATCCTACATTAACACCTTTCTGGAAAGGGAGTCTTACAAAATAGAGGGGGGAAAAATTGTGTCTTGCCAGGCCCAGAGGGCTTAGGAATCACTGTATTAGACAAATTGTATCTTAGCTGCTCATTAACTGGAATCAAGATTGCAGTCCAGATTTAAAAATGGAAAAGCATATAGTTCCCCAGACCATGCATGACTTTTTTTTGTATTATAAGGAAAAATTACCATTGTGTTATATTTGTAAATACAGCTTATACAATGGGTTACAAATGAGTTCTGTTGTAGCAAGTAAAACAAGCTACTTGACACATTGCACATTTAATAGCTGCACCAGACATCAAAGTTCCTCTCACACAAGAAAGAGGGCCAGGGTCTCCCCCTGCCCTTACCACTCGCCACTCTGGGGTCCTGAGTTCCCAATCCCACCCTTCCAAGTTTTTCCTTCTTTTTTTTTTTTTTTTTAATTTTTTTCTTGTTTTATTTATTTTTGTTTTTTTTCTGAGGTGCAAACACTCCCCCCCAGGAAATGACTGGTGGTCATCTCATCTCTTGGTATGCTCCTTACACACAAAACATTCAAACTGCTTTTTTTTTTTTTTTTGTCTCTTGCAGTTTTGCTACCACAAGAAAAAAAAAAAGTCTGCCTCACCATACAGTCAGTAATAGATCCTCAACATACAGTCAACCCAACCATTAACATTCTCAGTGCGCACGCTCACCACAGAGGTTCAGGAGCCTCTCAGAAGGTTAGGTACCAGTGACGAGTCCAGGGTCACCCAAACACCATGCACCACTGGTGCAATGCCATTTCTTACAAGACTTTTTTGTAGCCCTCAAAAGACCTTCCAAAGAGAGGCCCTGGAGGCAACTGGATAGGGTGTAAATGGCATGCTTTGGCTGGAACACACATCCCTCCTTCCACGGCCATCTGTCAGCCTGGAAGCCTTTTAGCCTACGGTATTCACCCTCTGCTCCCTCAGAGGTGCCTCTTCATGTGCAGGGCTAGGTGGTCAGACCTGGAAAAACACCTGCAAGGGAAATCAGAAGCAAAGAAGTTAGGTTACCTTCCTGGCTTGTTTATAGATCAAATGCATCACTTCCCTGTCCTACTGGACCTCACCTCTCTGCAGGGAACATGGGGACTCTCCTGAGTCCTTGTCAAGGACAGGAAATCCCAATTTATAGCAATGCAAATTCAGGAAGTCTCCAATCAGCAGCTGGAACATTTGAAATCTAAACTGACCTTATGTCTAATTCTCCAAATCTGAAAACCGCTGGAAGCCAATCTTCAAAAAGTATATATGAAATCACTGAATTCTCATGGACACCTGGTACTGTGTCCTAATATGGATGTTTAACATCCGACTTTCGAAAAAGTCCCAGGCTTAAAAAGAAATGTCAACAAATGACAGGAAACTCTTGGCCGTCCTCCAAAGTTCTACTGCACACCTATTCTATTCTGGTCATCGCCTTCCCTTGGCCCTACCCTTTTTTCCAGAGCAGCCCTTGTGCACGTACCTGTCACAGTGAGAGCATTTAAAAGGCTTGGCACCCGTGTGCTTTCGGAAGTGTCTGGTTAACTCATCACTTCTTGCAAAACGCCACTCACACCCTTCCCATGAGCATCTGTAAGGCTTTTCTCCTGAGAAAAGAGCACATGATAAGCGCGTCATGACTTCACTGATACACTGAGGGAAGGGGCAGATTCAACAACATACACAGTGGCAGGGTGCAGGTTCAGGGTGTCATTGGCCTCAAAAATGCAGTGGGTTTCAATGACTATATCACCTGGCAATCTACAAGTATGAGCTCTTCCCTGACCTGGCCTCAAACCTCTAACTGTGGTCCAAGAGACCCAGGTTTGCAAAGGCCATGCTACCAAAAGCCAAGTTTTACATCGAACAATGACAATTACTCAGACTGGTCAAATACTTGTGAGGTGAGGTATCAGCTGCTGGACCCACAAGCCTTGTCCAGAGCAAAGTTTCATTGCTTTCTCCATGGAAACTGCTCCCTCAAGCATTATTTTGTTCCTTACTCACTTCCTTTGGAATGAGTCTCTGTAGTTTCCTCTGGGTCCTACGTTTCTACAAAACTGAAGTCATGAGTTTCTGAGAAACCTCATTCCAAGACTTTTGTATACTTTCTAAATGTCAATCAAATGACCAGGGTGACTTCACTCCTTGGTGAAATTATAAATATGAATTCAATAAAAATGCTACCTGAGAATTAAAAAAAAATGTCAATGGGGCAGACACTGCCTGGTTTTCAGGACACTCCCCTCTCAGTTGTCATTGGATCCTTACAGGACCGTAACTTCATCTCACAATTTAATCTCATATTGGTAAGAATTTGCACCTCTTGGTCTTTCAAGGCTTAACATTTCCAATGCTTCATCACCTGTTACCCTAGAGGCTGTCACGGTATTTTTAAACAGAATTTTCATCTCAGTGGTGGCATTTCGTTAAGAAGCCATTGCTTTAAGTGGCTGTGTGAGACATTCTCAGTCAACACCTACTAACCAATGCTGTTGCTTACAGAGCCCAGTGCTCCTACTCGGGTGTCTCAACATCAATGTCAACACCAGTACACTCCATACTGCCCAGGGACCCTCTGTCCTGACCCTGGGATTTTATTTCAAAATACGAGACACAGCCCAACCTAACAGGATACAGATACACTGGGAGAGTGAGTACCATATGGGCAATGATACACTGCATTGCTGGGGGGGGGAGGTGGAAGACTGGGTGTCAAAGGAGAATATGACTGACATCTTATTTCTTAAAACTGCATGTATTAACCATTCATCTGACTTAAATACCCAATCTTTAAATTCTACTCTGAATTCTAAAAAAAAGACCCAAGTTTTTGGTGAAAAGCATTTAGGAAATGAGGACTTCTTTGGCATATCCTGCACAGCCCTGGCTCCCTCCCAGGGCTGGTGCAACTCAGTGGCGCCCACCGGTGGCTGACCTCCCGGGTCTCATGAGGGGACTGACCTGTATGAGTGCGCTGATGTGCTTTCAAGTGGGAGCTTTTGGTGTAAACTTTTCGGCAGCCATTAAAGTGGCATCGATGTACCCTCCTCCTGCCATCTGGAGAGGCGTCACCACTACCCTTGTCACCTGGCTTCCCTGAAGTCCCACTGCGCACCTTCCCTGGGGAGGGCAGCTCTTCAGATACACAGCCCCACAGTTGAGAAGGTTCCCTGCTCAGTTCTGGAGAAGAAGGGGGCGTGGAAGTGACAGAGGAGCTCAGGTTTCCTGAATTGACTAAAACTTCACTGATGGGGTCAGAGGTAAACTTGGTAGTAGGTGAAAGTTCCTCGGAGCTGTCTGAAGATTCGCTGCTGACATCTGAGTTCAGACTGTTGGTCTCTAAGTTGTAACTAAAGCTCGGGCTGATCAGAGTGTCCTCTGGGGGACTAGAAGAAATCTTCAGTTCTGATTCCTCCTTTTTCTCCCGAGCCAGAATGATTTTGGTCCACAGATCTTCCTGGCTGTCAAATTTGATTTCTGAGGCTGAAACATAGCAGGGCTCACTCTGGAGGTAGCGTTCCAGCTCCAGGCAGGTCTGTGCAAAAGGAACCAAAAGAAGGCACGTGATTGTTATGATTACTGAAAGTGGAACCAAAAGCACATTTTCAAAAACATGCAAGAACAAAGGACAGATCAACTGTGGCAATGTCACTCACTATGGGCACAAAAGCTTCTGTAATTAGAATCTGTGTCCTTGTGAAAGTTAGAGAAATGTAAGAATTCAAAAGGAAAAGTAGGGAGTGAAACTCTCTCCCCACTTCAGGCCAAGGGCCACAATGAGTGATGATCACTAAGTCTGTTTTGTTGTTATAGTTACAAGTGTTGACATTTCTAATGACTTTCCCGTAAACCACACAAAGAAAACCAGCCTTACACATAAACCCCCCCCAACAGGTTTAACCAGATCATCTGACATTCTCAAGTACCATGTGTATCATGGAAAGCCCCAGCCATCCACCATTCGCACACAAGTATCCACACAACAGGACAGACAGAAAGACTGCACAGCCCACAATGTGTTCTGACGGACCCACTTAGGGACACAGTTGACCACAGAGGGCCATACTCAGAAAGCAGACAGCAGCTAGCTGTCTGTATTCAGGGATATCAATAGAGTTGCAGAGAAACCACCCATTTCCTGTGTAGCCGAGACCTAAGACGTTTTCAAAGAACGCCAATCCCAAGTTGGAGGCCCATGCAAGCCACCAAACTTTAATTACTTCTCCAGTGGTCAGAGAGAAACAAGAAGCGTCAACAACAGGAGTGGAGGGATAATTCCAGAATGGCCATCTGCTATTGTAAAAGATGCAAGGGGGAAATTACTCCCTGGCCCTGCTGAGAGGCCCACGATGAGCAAGAACTTTATCTACTGGCCAAGAGTACAACTGTATGAGTCATCACTCCTATTTCTTTCACGCAATGCCAAAGGAGACTTCCTTTTGAAATTCTGACCAGCAGCCAAATAAAGACCCGGTTCAAATATACATGCAGTGTGTCATGGACAAGATGCCCCTCCCCAGCCCCACAACCAACCTTTCAAGAAGCTACAACTGCCGAGATCAGCATCCCCTCTCCCCACCATTTCAAACTTTCTAGCCACTGGAAAAGAAAAATGGTAGGAAACATTTTAGGGTTAAATTATGTCTGTCCTGATTTTCACTACGATGCCTGCATGTCCATATAAGGCTGTCTATGTTACTGGCTAGCCTACAGATTTAAATTTCGACACCAAACTGTTCTTAGCAACAAATCATTTTCAGAGCACCAGCCATCCTGTGCACAGGCCACCTGAAAGACTCGTGCTTACTTAGCATTGCACCATCAACCATATTATATACACATTTTTCCCCCTCCCAGAGACTCACACAGCAAGCATGAGCAAGCCAAAGAAGGAGGGCGGGTGAAATCAACGTTTTCTCTTTCCCCCCTCAAATTAGACGTCTGAGTTACAAGGCATACTATGGTGTTCAAAAGAGTGGCGGTGATCCGTTTTATTGACGTTCCAAAGAAAAAAGGAAGCACATTTACTGAGATCTTGTTAAACTTTAATAATCTGACTAATTTAAAATCTCCATTATGCTGATGAACACTAGGGACCTGAACGAAGCTCTCTGAGAGTTTAAAAGCCTCTGAAGGCAACCAGGAGCCAAGTCTGGCTTGCTGCCCAAATCCCAAATGCCCGAAGGAAACTACTTAGATCCATTTCAATCACGTCCAGGGAGCAGCTTCTTAGAGGAGGAAAAAGGGGGGAGGGAGAGGAAGGCAGGAGAGGATGGTGGACAATTAAGCTGACATGTGAAGGTTGCAATACTTTGCATTTCATCCTTCTTAAAAGCCTTCTAGGCTTTGAAAGCCACAGAATCTATCTCATCTGCTAATTCACTTTAAGACGAAAAACAAAGCACAGCAGGGCAGAGAGACAACACCAAACCCTCTTTCTATCTTTTTAAAGACAAAGGGACGAGTGTTAAGAGTCTCTCATCAGGCAAGCCTACGAATTAGAATGATTTAAAAAAAAAAAAAAATAAAAACGAAGTTTCTGAAATTTCCAATGCCCCAAATTCTGGTTCCACTAGAATGCCGGAAACCGAGGTTCGTCTTCCCAAACTCAGACTTGAAGCGACTAGGACGGGCTCACTGTCCTATGGCCGAGAAGTCACTGGCCTGCAAAGGGCCCCCCCACAACCCCAAAAGAAGCAGGTACGAAAATAAGGCGGAGCTGGGCCAACTCAGGAAACCCAAAGAGGGAAGACACGGGGACGGCCTTGAGCTCAAAGCGTAAATCGGCTGGTCTGCGTCCTGCACAAAACTGTACACCTAAAACACTGCACGTACAAACCCTAAAAGGGAACGCACAAGGGCAAAATCCCTTAAAAATAACCCAAAAATCCCCCGGCAGTCCAGTTCGTGCCTAGGACGAGGCTCAGCTGTGGCGTCTGGACCAGGCACAAGCCCCAAACTTGAGCCACGGGCTCGGGCCGGGGTCAGGTAGAGGGTTCGGGTTTCCCCTCGATGGACGCTGTTGAGAAGCTCGGAAAACCGTAAAAAAAAATAAAAATAAAAATAAAAATAACCTGGGAACGGGCAGCGCGGCGGCGCTCCACGCCAGTGACAATGACAACTCCGCTCCTCGCCGCGAAAGGACCCCTCCAGAGGGCCCGCGTGGCCGGAAGGGGGTAAGAGCACTTTATTCTGCTTTTCCACACAGAAACGACAATCTTTAAAGGGATGCACTCCCGAGCACACCCCATCTTGCCCGCGCCTCGGCGCACGTGAAAATCCCGATTTACCTGTTGCCAATATTCCTCCAGGGACGGCAGAGCCGAGAAGTAGCCCGTTTCGTGCACAATCTGGAGTTCCTGGAAGATGCTGCACATTGGGAGCACATCCATGTCGGGTTGGAAAAGACAGTCCCCGCTGTCGGGAAAACAGGGAGGCGAACGGTCTGGAGTCGGAGCCGAAACTCTCCCAGCGAGCGCAGGTGAAAGTTTCATGCAAACTCAATGGCACGGCAATCAAACGCCCGGTCCGGACCCTCCTGCAGCCCGCAGCGCGCGGAGCCCACACAATATTTGCAAACACCCGACTGACTGCAAACGTAACCCCTGCAAAACTTCCCTATTCAAAGCTCCGCTGCCAGCCTCCCCCCTCCTCCCCCGCCTGGCTCCCCCCACTCCTCCTCCCCCCACGTGACGAGCCCCGCGCCCGCCCCGCGCACTACCCAATCCCGCCGCGCCCGGCCCGGGGGCTGCGCGCCGATGATGTCAGCTTCGACCAATCGCCGACCGTGACACACAGCGGCCCGCCTGGCGTGACCGAGCCTCTCCATTACAACCCTTGCTATTGGTTCAATTCGAACTCTGCCATCTCTGATTGGAAAGCGGCCTCGAAGGCTATTTTTAGCAGGGTATATATGGCGCGGGCCATCGTGTGCAGAAGGAGTCGGCGCTGGGAGGTGCGCGGTCTAACGCCGCAGTTTTGTAGCCTGGGCCGGAGTAACCGGGCCGAGCGCTCTGTCCGGGATCTGTGGTCCGATCCCGCCGCGTCCCGGCCACCCCGATCAGGACCGCCAGCGCGCGAGCCTGGGTTCGGGTCCGGGCAAAGCACCTCGGGTCTCCTCCCAGCCGCCTGATCCCTCTCCATCCCCCTCTTCCCCTTCGCCCTCCGGGCCGCCCGGTCTCCCCGTGTCGTCCTCTCTTTCCGTCCCCCCTTCGTCCGCTCCATCCCCCGGGTTGCCGGGGTGACCCAGGGGAGGGGGACGCAGGCCACCAGCCCGGGCCCCACGGGTGCGGCGAACGACAGCGGGGACCGCGGCGGGCTGTGTCAGCCTCCGGGACCCCACTCTCGAAGGTCCTCGTCCACCCAGAGGGTCAGCGGAAGAGGGTCAGCTGTGCTCTGGGGGTGCGGGGAGGCCTGGGGGTTCCGCCCCAGTGGCCGCGGCGGGAGGCGCCTCGGCCAGTGCAGGTGGAGGACCCGGGGTCCGCTGGGTTGTCCATCCGCCCGCGTGTGACTCACCCAGGCTCCTGCAGTTGGAGGGCGTCCGTCTGTCTTGAGGGGCGATCTGCGCGCCCCGCCGGGCTGACGGCCAGGTCCCGTGCACGGGCCAACAGTTTAAGTTAGGTCGGGCCTGACGCTCAGGGTGCTTTTTCGTATCAGTTACCTCCCAAAAGGAGCCGTGATTTATTTGCATGGTAAAGGCCAAGGACACAAGATGTGGGCATCTTAAAATTCAAAATATAAAACCCAGAACCAGTGTAACTGTTGACAGTTTTCATTTCAAAAGCAATGTTTAATGATTCCCCCCCCCCTTTGGCAGTACTGGGGTTTTTGAACTCAGGGTAGACAAGAGTTCTGCCGCTCCAACTACGTCCTCAGCATGCCCAGCCCTTTTTGCTGTAGGTTATTTTTTCAGTTAGAGTCTTTGTTTTGTTCTTTTCTTCCCTTCCCCCCCCCCCCACCCCGTGATCTGGAACCTCCATCTTCCAGATGTCTGCCTTCCAAGTAGCTGGGATTACAGCTCTGGGCCACTGCATCCAGCCTGAGCATTAATTTTTTAAAATTTTAAAATGTGTATAAAACAATAGAGGGTTTCATATATTTAATTTTAGAAGACTGGAGGAGACTATTGTAGCAGGATCATAAGCTTGTAAGATTTTAGGCAGGGACTTTTGTGAGTCAAAAGTTAGGAAGAGTTAGTATCTTATTATGACTATTTTATTTAATCAGGGAAGGTGATGGTTGGCCTTATTCATCATACCACCCTAGTGGCCAAGAATCAGGTCTGTTCCTTCATAAGGTCATGTGCCTTGAGTTTGTTTACAAGAAGGGAAATGGAAATGGCTTTGCTTTGAACCATCTGCAGGTTGATCCAACCCCCCCAGTGGTCAGCAGCTGGTAGTATTTGAGAAAGGGTTATACTGGGCTTGGTTTGTTATGTATTAGTGGTAAGATCTTGACCGTGGCCCTGGAATTACCAAAGGGAACAAGAATCAGATCAAATCTTTGAATGAAGGCCAGCACCCTAGAGCACATGGAAGAGAGTTAGGTGAAGGGACACAAATAGTGACTAAGTCAAGAACACCTTGATGACTGTGGGCTCCTGAGGGGCAATTCTTTTGGTTATCATAGTGAAGATACCGTAACTTATCTTGTGGAAAAAGAATCATTTATTGTTTCAATAAGTTTCTTTACACTCCTATAGAATGTAAATTTGTCCTTATCTCTTACATAAGCTGCCTGTACTTAGAAGAGATCTACAGTTTATAAGAATAAACCTATTTGGACAAAATAGAGATACAATCAAAACTGACTTTCAGAAAAAACATTTTTTTTAAAGTGTAAAAGTCAGGTACATAATAAATGGACTGAATTTCAAGTACAATCAGCTGTGTGACTTCCTGCTACACCCATTAGCCATTCAGTACGTATTATTCATATCCTATGACTGGTCAGGTATTGGCATACATAAATTTACAAAATAGGCAATAGTCCTGGAGTGGTAGATGGCAGAGAGGAGGTCAGGATTCTATAGATACCTTAAAAGAAAGGCATTTCCACTAAGTATGTAGTTACTGGATGAGAAAATATCATTAGTCTTATATATGGAAAGGCTTACCCATGAAAGATGAACAGTGCTAATAATGTGTGGTTTTTTAAAAAAGAGTAACAGAAGCCAGATTTATTCAGAAGGGGAAGGATGGCATGGAATAAGAAAGATAAATTTTAAACTCTAAGTACTTACGTTGCATGTGTGGCCTCAGTCACATTATTCAAATAGGAAATTAAAAAAAAAATCCTTTTTAGTTTGCTATAAGAGATAATGTGTTAAAACCCTTGATTTGTGGCAAATAGCAGTCAATTAGTGGAAATGCAATGGTCACTCCTTCAACATTTACCCATTTTCAAGTTTGCTGTTGATATTTATTTTATAATGTATCCCCCAAACACGTGTGATAGTAAAATTAAAACCAACTCAGCAGGTCACATAGCAAATCGGAACAAAACTGGGCATAGAGTTGTCCAATAACCCCATAAGAGTTTCTTTCTCCTGTCATAGCCTGGAGAGTCTTTCTCTTCCATCTCTTTTTCTCATTCTCCTTGTCCTGAAGAGAAGGTAACAAACTAATTGGGGGTGACCCTCCTCCTGCTCATCTCTACTGTTGAGCTGCCTGTCTACACCACAGCCTTCAGAGGGTCAGGGCCCTTCTGTGTGCTGGCCCCAGGCTTCTCACATTCCTGGATGATGAGGGTTCTGCCTCCCTTACACCCTCTGTTTATTTCCTCAACCCCCTCCACTTTCTTTCTCATGCTTCCAAGCTAAATTCATTTATTCCTCACCAGGAAGTTCTCTTTGTTGCATGGGGGTGTGTGTGGGGGGGTAGGAACCTACTGTTTAAAATAAAGTTTGTATTTTAAACCTAACTTTCAACTTAAAGATAAATGGATGAGTTCAGAGTGCTCTTGATTTTCTTGTTCTTCTAGATCAATCAAAAGGAGCACTTAACAGGAGCCTTATAAATCTGTTCCGAGTATAATTTCAATAATGACCCTAATTACGTTGACAGAGAATGCTTCTGCTATTGGTAAAGAAGCCAGCTTTGTTTGCTTTTGATATCATTAGCAATATATTGTTTATCCTAGAACAAATTAATTACCCTTATATTTCATTTGTTTCCTTAAGTTGTGTAAAATACATATTTTTCAGAAAGTACTTTTGAGTAATTATGTGATAAATAATATGTAGGTATAAAATGTTCAATCTTACTATTTCCTGTCTCATTTGCAGATAGTTCAAATAGTGTGAGCTGCCTTTTTTTCGTTTGGCTTTTTTTCTGGAGGTATATGAAGTTTTTAATTGGAAAAAAGAAACAGTTATTACATGACCTAGCAAATAAAGATTCACTCTTACTGTTAGTGGTGAGAATAGGTAATGAAGGAAAGCGCTTTACTGGTATCTTTCAGTAGATGTTCAACTTAACTTACCAGCACATGGGATGTGCTGAGTACAATGGCTGATATGGTTCTGGAGCATTGGTTGGGAAGTAGCAATCTTTGTAACATATAAAATAGTAAGAGGAGACACTGCTTCTTATCTGGCAAGGGGCTATTGACTGCTACTACCTTGTGTTTGCTAGTGAGCCTGGGGTCGCTAGGTTGGTCAGTTGGTTGGTTGGTTTTTTGAGTGTTCCTATCCACATTCATAGTTCCCAATCCCTGCACACCTATCCTGGCTGGAGACATGGTGGAGGGTGGAGGGAAGTAGCTCCTGCTGAAGGAAGAGAGAGTGTCCTCAGTGTTGATTGAGGTCAGCCCCTGTGCACGCAGCATTGAGGTTGGGGGCAATCTGAGTTTTCAGGCGTCTTTCCCCTCAGCACCCAAACTTTGCTGAATCTTGGAGGAGAGTTGGGAAGTGGCAGCTAATTTCTTGTCCATTCATTGGCAAGAGTAGACTACTACATCTTGGCTTACAGGAGGTGGGTTTAAGGGGGCATCCTGCCACTTCCCCTACTCCCAGCCCTGAGGAGCTTTTGCTTCCTTTGAGAGAGGAGTCTGGGAGGGTATGGCTGGGAAGTGGTTCAGTCTACTACCCTGCCCACCCATCTTCTCATGAGCACCAGTTGGAGGCCTCCAAAGAAGAGCTTGCATGAGAGAGAAAAATCCCATTTCTTCCAAAATGTCAAGCTAACTCACATATACCCATTAACAAATCGTTATGATATTACCTGTCTTCTATGCAGCCTGCCTCTTTCTACTCTGGCAAAGGTGAAACAATGTGTGGCACTGTTTCTCCTTGGTGTCTTGTCTCTCCTCATGATTCAATTCACACAAAGACTTCAGTCTTAAGTAAGTTAACTCATTAACTTACTTTATTTATTTTAATTAATTAATTTATCTAATTAATGAAGAAAAATAAGAATTTGTAGATCATCTGACGTTTTCTTGTCATCAGGGCAGTAGCAACTTTCTTTTATGATTTTCCTCTATCAGAAGTGGAACTCAAGAAATCCAATAGGGAAAGTCTTCAAGAAGTGACACTTGAACTCTTCTTGACCATACATACAGGAGGAGGGGATAAAAAACCCAAAACAAAGAAAGTAAATGAAAGAAAGGGAGAGGGGAGGGAAAAATGAGGGAGAGAGG